CTTTACTACTGTTTAATTCTTTGTGGTTGGGGAAGGTTAGGGTTAATACTTTTTTCACAACTTGGCATACCGGAAATAGAATTTTGGTGGAAGTTTTATTTGTATGTGTTTTTCCGTGACAGCATCCGTGCTGGGCAGTTTTACCCACAAGGGTCACCCGTGCCTCCTCTTTGAGCTCCTGGAGCACAATCTCAAGGAGCTCCACCTCAAGAACGCGGCGGGGGCCGAGCCAGACGAGCCCAACTGCCTCTCCTTATACCTAATCCAGAACCTCCTGGATGACATCCTGAAGTGCCTGCAGCACGTGCACGCCCGGGGTTGGGTCCACGCCGACCTGAAGCCGGCCAATGTCATGTGGTGCGCCCAGGAGGGCTGCTGGAAGGTCATTGACTTTGGGCACAGCTTCCAGGAGGGCCATCAGGTAATGCAAGGCTGCCACACCTGCAGGGGAGAAGACAGGACATGCCCCACCCACTTCATAAAAAGTATAGCATTTGTAATCTCAGCTACACCCATTCCCACTTTTCAACGTACCCCAATGTGGCATCGTTATGTAATTAGGCTCATACAATGTAACCATTCCAGTGCCACTGGTATGATTCAACTAATTATTCTTGTAAGATGCCTTGCTTCAGAACACCATAGATCTCACCAAATGCTTTCTTGAATCACACTCTCTTCGCAGGGTTACATGGGCACTATCCACATATATGCTTACTTTTACACTACCAAGCAAGCAGTCGGCTGCCAAAATCAAATCTACTGTAGCAAGAGCTATGTCCATCTAGGCATTTCACGGGGTTTTAAATCTTTTCTCCCTTAATCCAGGATTTCAGCCAGATCCAGAGTTTCTGCTACCAGTCACCCGAGGCCAAGACCTGGAACGCCTTCATTCTGCAGCACAGCAACACCCCACGGGGCCGCAAACTCCAGGACAAGCCGCCCTCCTGCACCTCGGCGGTGGACGTCTGGAGCGTCGGCTGCATCGTGGCAGGAGCATTCACGGGGATCAAGCTGTACGAGCAAGGGGATGTCACACCTGGCGGATGCCAGCAGTGTCAGGTAAGTTCACGCACAGCTCTGGAAAGAGCATCAGCTCGTCCAGAGTGGAGGTTGAACAAAGTCTGTAAGGAGACCATTGTTTAATTTCCGAAGCCCCCTAAATCATTTAAAGCCCAACTCAACTTAAAGTCAACGTAAAGTCAAAAGTCAACTCATTATATANCAAAACCAGGCCATCAAGCCCCAAGTAAAGTAATTATGGCAGTGTTGTCCAGGCTAAATCCCTCAAACGTGGATTTTGAAAGAATTTCATGGTTTTTATATTAAGGAAATGTTTAGGAAGGGTTATTTCAACTGAATAATCTTGTTGAAGATTCATTAGATCTTCAGTCATCCTATGATCCATCTTTCCACATTTACAGGAGAGAATTTTCCACAAGTTTTCTCTAAATTAGATGCCTTGGGTCTTTTCTAACTGTAAATCTCAACTCTTTGTATTTTTTTGTTTTGTCACCAAGTTTTGAGCTACCTTGCTGCAGCTATTTTGAGGAATCCCTGATTTCACTGCATCAAATAAATTCCAATCTTTCTTCATGAGTCCATTCACGGCCTTTCTTGTTTGCTCGCTCTTTGTAGAATGATTAACAGATCTTTGATAACTGCAAATTTTCCAAGCAGAAAGACTGTGAAACTCTGAAATGCGAGTGCGAACCCCTGATAGAAGCCATCATCAAGCAACGACCAATCGACAACCACATTCCCAAGATCAAGGACGTCATAGTTGACCTGAGAGACCTCCTCATTCAGTGAGTTCAAGAGAAGGTTTTTTTTTTCAAATCCTTGATCTCATCTCTATCCCTGGCTTTGGTTTTACACAATTGAGATCCACAGTTGACCTTAAAGCTCAACCCAGCTCCATTTCTCAGCTATCAAACTATCCTCTGATATCAGGCCAAGGTGTGAATTCTTGTTAAGTTCCCACCAAGTCTTTCTTGGAGCCAAAGATCAGCTTTTCGACTGGGCCACTGTCTCAGACCTGGTTGCTCCAACTTTCTTCCGTGTACTTAGTACTTTCAAAACAGTCTTTGTCACATGAACTCACTAACATAGCGTATCCAACTTGGTTGGTAGTTTGCCTGGAACATTCTGAATCTTCTACTGTGCGGGAAACCAGTTTTACATTCTTTTCTACTCCAACTTGAGAAGTCAAGTCACAGAAGATGTGCCTACCTTCTGCAATCCTTCAGAATCCTTGATGGATTTTGTAAGATCCAGGAAAGCTAGGGTTAATGTATACCTCTTGCCGCAGGATGCTTCAATGCACTCCCAAGGTGCGGCCCACGGCAGCTTCCTGTCTCCAGCATCCCTTCTTCTCCCACAAGCTCCAGCCCAGCTACAAGGACCTCCTGCTCTTGCCCACCCGCGTCCTGAGACTCATCAACGTGATGGACGATGCCGGCGAGGACGGGACCCAAGACGAATTCACTGGTGAGGACCACAAATATGTTACGTCATCACTGAGGGTCCAAAATCTAATCTGCCTCCTCTGTTTCCAAAGCCACATTTTGTAGAACTGCTTAACAGCAGATGTTGCTGAGAGAAAATATTTGGTAAGGAGAAAATCAGGGGGAAATCAGTCTAGGGCAGTGTGCAGTGCATTACATTGCGGTTAGCAACCAGCTTTTGTTGAGCAAATATCTTCTGTCCTTAGCATATTTTTTGGGCTCATCAGCTCTGTGAAATAGAGAACTGTCTGCACCCATCCATGGATGTGTTTGCATACTTTGTCATCCGCTAATTATGTTTGGTAACAAGCTGATGTTTTATAACGGTTCTCTGCAGACATCCTGACCGACCTTAGGCAGGAATGCGAGAAGTATGGCATTGTGAAGAAGGTCGTCATGCCAACAGACAAGGAGAAGAAAGACAAGGTAAGTTCTTGCAACCCCAACCCCTCGCCACCTTTTGCAGGGTTTTTACTCAGGCATGACTCAAACCCACATTATCTTCCTTACTCTTGCTGACGTCCGATTCACTCAACCAGCCTGTGTTCTCGATTGGGTTGCCAGTTCTTATTTGACACAATGCTTGCGAAGGCTCAAGCCCTTTTCAAATATAACCATCAACTAAAATGTACACAGTCTAGTGAAACGTCATCGGTAACAAAGGAATTGACAAATGGTTCTCCATTTTCCTCCATACGCAATCATCCTTCAGGCGTTTGTTGAATTTGAAGATGCAGTGGACTGCGAGACAGCCCAGAGGGCGCTGGTCGGGCGCCATTTTGACGGCAAGCCCCTGCTGGCCACATTCTACCCAATCAATGACTACCGGTCACAGATTCTCGGCACTGGAGGTGGGTCTTAAACAATATATCAGCAAATTTGAAAAGTATGACGGTCAGTTTTATAATAAGTCCATGGACTTGATACACTCTTGCTGTTGTACGGTATCAGATAATCTATTGTTTTGTTTTGAGTGGATTATCAATTTGAAGCAAACCTAATTTGAGTTTCTATTTCCAGTTTATACTTAGCAGGAAGCATTTGTCATTTGCTAAGCATATCTTGGAAGTAAGCAAAGATCTAGCTTGTGCTGTCCACAGGATCATTTAATTGCAGGCCTTTTAGAGCACAGACGTGTAATAGTCAAGTATGTGTTACATGTATCTGTAACGTAAGCACATTTAGGAGGAATCCGATTCACTCATCACTTCATGTGCTGGCCTTGAGGACTTGTGTGTGCAGTTACTGTCTCATGCCTCATTTGATTGAGATGAATCTTACCAAAATTATGCCCGAGAATGGCCTGTTTCGTTCAAATCAAGGTCCAGAATGAGTGACAGAAGTTGTTTTTGTGATTTTTCATCATCATTGGCAGTGATGGATGTTCCTTGACAGTTACGGTACATCCTTGGTGGATTGGGTGTACATGTCCTGAGTAGGTTGAGGTATGTGGTCCCAATAGTTATGGCATACGGCCTCAGTAGTTAAGGAATATATGTCCTCGGTGGTTGAGGTATATGTCCTCAATGATGGAGATGTATGTTCTCAGTCATTAAAGGAATAGGTCCCCAATGATTGCACATGTTCCCAGCATGTCCTCAGTAGCTGAGTAATGTCCTCTCATGTACAATACGTCCTGAGTATTTGGTATGTTATTTGTGAAGCTCGAAACATCATAGGACAATTGCTCGATTTGGAAGTATTCACATACATCTACATGTTTAATTAATGTGGTTACCAAAATGAGTAGAAGGTTTGCACACTCCAACTTAAGTACTAGACTTCTTGTTGAGTAACATATTATAAACTCATATCTCGGGTATTGTTCGTCACATGACTATACATTCCTCTTGCACAAGTACTCCTGTGACTCTGTTATGTAGTTTAATTCAGACATTGTGAATGTCAGTATTCTTTTATAAGACTCAGGACCAGCGCAAGCAAACCTTGATACTCCACAGTACGCTCTTCATAGAATTTCTTCCCCAATGCCGTCAGTTTCTGTTTATGTTGCAATTTTTTTGTTCAGAAGAGATGAAATGCAAGCAGTTTCAGGAATTCAGTTGTCTACTTTTTAAATGCATCTTCCTTCCTTTTTAAGAAAGCTGTGCGAAAAAAGAAACAGTCATCTTTGCCAGTTTTCTCCTGAGACATTCCATTAACCCCATATTTTGAACCAACCCTTCTAAAACTTTCTTGAACTAAATTCTCTTTAAACTCAAATTCTTCTGTCTTCTTTATTGATTAGCTGTTGATTCCACTTCCAAATTCAAAATCTTCCTAATCCCGGGCTATTGGTAAAAGATTGGAAAGTATCGTGTAATTTGGCCAAATAATAACTTACAAGGGGAGATGCTTTGTAGAGTTGCACCGAATTCTGGGTCGGGAAGATATTGCCTTTAACCACCTAAAATGTCAGATCTATTTACAGTTTATCTGCCAATCAAGTCCTCGTGAAATTTAATGCCACTGATTTTAATATCATTTGACACACGGGATGGGTAGATAGATGTGCATTTAAATCAGTCCAATTCTCATCAGTGACAGAAATTTGTGTTATGCGTTTTATGCCACGCCTGACACCCACTTGGAACCCCAAATTATTTAATAAAAATGTGGTTCTTTTAGTTCGTAAGTTTATGGAAATTTCACAAAGGTTAAAAAGCATTTTACCTATCAGCTGTATTGTATTCAATTTCAAATAACTGAGAACTTAAACCTGTGTGTGTGTGTATTATGTGCCTAAAATATAGCTGAATTGGAGAACGGAATCACATTATGATTTTACAAAATTGCCTTTTGAATGTCAACTGCACATAGATAATTAGTTTCTTATGACACAGTGTGTACGAAGGGAGGGTATTTCGTACAACTGACAGTTGATGCTACCCTTGATAATGTGGAAACACCATAGACCTTACTGTTTGTTACACTAGAAACCCGAGATTCAGTCCAGTGGAGACCAGTGGGTCTCAGTATTGTATATTTACTCAGAAATAGGATTTTCAAACTATTGGAACACTTCAATTTGGAAGGGTACAGTGTACATTACAAGTCAAGTGTATCTTACCAAAGCTCCATGATATTACTTCTTATACATTGTCGGGACTTGACAGCTTGTTGCATGGTTTACAATATTTTCCTGTCAGTTTTTTTAATTGAGAGAGAATTTTTTCCCTCGGAGTCAAGTACTTGACTTTTGTTATCCGTTTTAGAGCAACTGAAAACTCTTTCCAAAAGCAGATGGTGACATTTTTGGCAGCTTCTAATGAATTTGTGATGTTTGTCAGAAACATTTCTCTGTTCAGGAAGCAGGGATTTGAATAATTACTGCAATTTAAACAACGCTTCTTTTTGTCCCCCAACAAAACTGTATTAAAAGTAATGGGTAAATAGAGTTTTCATTGCTATGATTAAAATGTTTTATGTCTTTTGTAGTATTTGATGGAGTTTGTCCGATTGGAAACTTAGCAAAAATTGACCAGTGCTTTCTGGAGGGAGTGGTTGTATTTTTGTATTAAGTCTCTATTTTAAAGTTTCGAATATTGATTTAGCTTTATGAAATTCTCTTGTTTTGTTTGTTTTTTGCAGATGGCCGAAATGTTAATGTGTGAATATTTACATAATATATCTATATACATGTATATCTGTAAGAAATATACCCGATATATATTTAAAATGTATTGTACAATCACTGTATTTTGCCTATTAAAATATATATTTAATAGCTGCTACTACAAATGTTCCAACTGTCTGGTATTTGAAAAGAAATACCACTCGCCCACATACGATATACGTGTCTTACAATCTGGGGAAAAGTTAAAAGAGATTTATAGGAATGTACAAACGTTATACACGTGTCACCACTGCTACAGTAAAAGGCCCAAGAAAACATAGACACTTCTCACACTGTTTAAATCTTTAATCCTTGACAACTATACAGAATAGTTATACTGTAAATTATATACACAAGGTGGAGTCTTCGTTCCATCACTCTCAGGCACGGTAAAGTAAAGGAATAATCTTATATATAATAATCTATGTCATCAGGCTTTTAGAGTCCAGGTGTTCTTGCAAGCATGTAACTTTTCCGACTTTTTACTTCAATTTTCTTCACAATTTGGATAGATAAACCATGCAATACAAAATGCTATCCTATAACGATCAAAGATTACTCAACCGTCGACTTCCCCCCAAAAAACACCCAGACAATAAATGGATCCCAATACAATGCTTTTAGCGTCGATCTGCGCACTTCCGCGTTTGAAAATGAGGCTGTACGTGTCAGCTTCAATTCTTAATACGATCAGAGGATTAAAAGTAAGGAGTCAAGACACAAATTACATAACGGTATGTTAAATTCAGACTTTTCAGGCTGGAAGAGTCTTTCAGGATGACTCGACACGTAAAATCAAAAGAAAAATAACGACAATTGACCGCGAACTAACGTACCTGCGATGGTCGTGTATCTTGTGCAGTGGGCGTGGTTTAAACTGAAGTGACGTCACACCGACGAACCGGATACTCCATGTACTGTGTGGACTCTGCGGGCGCGCACGACGAAATTCAACACAGAGAGCCTCGGTTTCGATGAAGATATGCGCATACGGCGCTAATGTGAAATCCCTCTATTATTATAGTCCAACTTTGCAAAGATTTCTACTCATAATGCTTTGTTCAAGTGACATGGAAAAGGTAAAAACGAAGAGCGGAACATGTTCTTGGGTCACTATTCAGTAACCCCCAACACAAATTCTTGCCTCAAAACTCTAAATCTGAAGACCTGGGTTATCTTTACAGTATATTCGCAGTCCATTTGTGTAACATGAAAAATAAACAGACTTCCACATTTTTACAAAAAATTGTTGGCATATAGGAAACCTCTTAGGAGAAATTCTCTACTTGAAAGTCTGCTTTGGTTAAAACCAAAGTTTTGACAAATCTGGATTTTTTTCTTAAGTGCATCTAAATTTCAGAGAAAATATGTACACACTGAAGCAGCAAGGCAGAAAATTTCTACCTCAAGAAAACAAAACATGTTTAAATCCTTTCTACCGAGCCTAGTGTAAAACGAGTAGAAAAATAAGAACTTTTTATTCAGAGTGATAAAAGGCTAAAATTTCTCTCAGGACACACCTGAAGGTATTTGTTTTATATACTATCTGTTCTTAAATAGTATATTATGCCTCTGGGTAAAGCCCCAGAAATATTCATTTCAAATATTGAGTTTACACTATTAAAAGAATCTTCCAACACTCCAAAACTTAGGAAAAAAATATAAAACATTACATTCTAAAGAATCTTACTCCAACAAATACATAAATTTCATTTGCGTTGCAAGTTTTTTCCTCAACCAATGCTTTTTTTTTTGAAAGTGAAGAGGAAGTTAACATCTTTCAAGGTTTTTCCCTTATCTGCAACAAATTTCATTCCATAAAAGTGACAAAATATGCCGCCATACTGTCCGTCAAAATACTCGACATCAGAAATTCTCTGTGTGTAGATAAAAGTTTTTAGAAAAGAGAGGTAGAGTACGTTAAACAGAATCCCTCTAGATTGGTTAAGGCACTCGCCAAGAGCATGTGTTGAGAAACTCAATCTCCCTCCCAATGATTGTCATAACATTTCAGACGTTCAACTTGAACAAGTTCTCTTTTCAGCAAATTTCAAATTGAATACAGGTTTGGAATTCAATTTAGGGAACAGTTGATATTCAAAACTCTTACAAGTTTCTGCAGCTTGTCCAAATATTGAATCATATGCTGGAATTTTTTTTTTAATTTGTAAAAACCTCTTAGCATTTCAGCACATGTAACTGTATAGAAGCTCCAACATCCACAATTCTCCAGCATTCTTGACAAATTTCTCTGAACTATTCGAACTCAGCCAGGATTTACTATTCCCCTTTTCCACAATTTCTCACTTCGATCTCTCTCCCAAAATAAAATAATCCAGCCTCTGTTTCTTCTCTCATGTGTTCATAACTTTTTAAAAAAGCTTCAGAACACTCCAATGAACCGACGTCCATCCTGAAGTTGAAGGGGGTTCATTTACAAGAAAAATAATAACATTGCCATTAGTTCTCAACTACTTTTTTGCCATTAGGCGGACAACTCTTTTAAGTTGGAAAGGCACCTCCATGGCGATCCATTATTCGTCTTTGAACTTGTTCTGCTTGCCCACGATTCCCATCAACTCCTTGGACATATAGTAAGGCTTTTCGGGCGAGCCATCGTGCCGTTCCAAATCCTCCACTGTTTCAGGGAAAAAAAGGTACCAAAAAAACCCCAAAGGTTAGCTTTGCTTGCAACAGATTCAAGAAACCCTTGCATAAAACTGCCACTCAGAATAGCCAGAACAAAGTCCAGATGTTTGAATGGAAAGTGAACTTTGGACGTTGAATCAATCTGCGACTTACGGAAGCACAGGAAGAGAGTGTCGATGGCCATGTCATAGACACTGAAGAAACACTTGGCGATGAAGTAGGTCCCAATGGTGATAATCTGAAAAGAATCAAGGAGGAAAAACTGTGACTTGGCATTCGTAAAGCCTGAAATGTGAAACCCCTCCACTATGCAACACCACCTTGTATGCTGGAAGGAAGTTGCAACCTTCGGCCCCAAATATGCTTCAAATTTTTCTTTCTCCTGATCTGGCAACAGTTTTGCGCTAACCATTCAAGTCACTCCGTGGGACTTGGCCCAGGTTGCAAAGGGGACATTTCCCCTTGTGTCCAAACTTGTGTGCCAAAGCTGCCTCTGCCTGCCTGCCTGCCTGCAGTAAAGACCCATCCACCCACGCAAAGCCACTGGCTAGCGGCTACGCCCACTTCCCATGGGCACGTGTGCTTCTCTTAGCCACAGCCATGACTGTTGGATACAGTTTAACACTGCTAGCTTGTTACAAGCAGGGCAGATTGTTTTATTCTTTCTTGCCCTTGTAAGCCCATTTTGGAGATACACTAAAAGACACTTTGACAGTTTTTCCAGCCCTGGATAGCGCCCTCGTTTGAGCAATCGTTACATGGGCCTGTAATGTAGGCAGTCCAACATATCCAGCAGCACTTTTCTTTTGACCCGAGTATTTTGGATGAGCGATACACGACTGGAACGACTCCAGCGAGACTTACAATGATGGGAACCCAGTAGTAGTTGAGAGAGGGGACGGTGATGTAGTTGGAGACCCAGGTGATCTGGTTGGTGAAATAGAAGAAGGACGTGACGGCTAGCGCACCGACGACGAACAGCTCACCCAGGAAGATCAAGAAGTCGGTCAGCTTGTTGATGACAGCCACCCTGCAACCCAGAACCACGGGAGAAATCAACAACTGGTATACAAGATTTTCAGTCACATGATTTTGGACAGTCAGCGTTCAACGTGCACGGATATTTGCAAAACATGGCACCTTGTAGCGTACGTGAAACTGCCAATAGAAATACACAGATTTGAAAATGCATGCGTCTCCAAGGACTTGGTACGCTTCCTGAAATGCCTTTGCCCGTCGTGTTACGTCAGGGGAAAAAACCTGTACAGAGATCAAAGTGCATACGTCTTGTGCCACAGTTGCATGTGTAAAAGGTATTAGCGTGAGAACCTTTGTGTGAACTAATATGCGCATACTCCATTCATTTACACAACACTTCATGGTTAAAATGATGCCACACATCGGTACTTCACACTCGTTGCACAATAACGGACTTTAACTAAATAGAATGGTGCCTTTTGGGATAAAGCTAGTATTGACCGTTACTGCAGATAGTCATTACGCATGATCTGGGAACAATACTCATTGTTCTTCCCTGACAACAAGGCAGCGTGTGCATACAGGGTACATGCATACAACTAACGCACAGTGCTGCGATCAATTCCTCCTGTGCATGTGAAAACCGCTTTCATCTTTGATGGGGATGTTTTTATTGATCAAAACAGAACTTTTTAGGATAACTCACCTCGCAATATTTCTGAGTAGCAGGAAGAACGCGTTCTTCGCCGACGTGCAGAAATTTTCGCCGTACACGGCAATCTGTTGACAGTGTGAAGGAACCGAGAACATTTTTTCACCCGCGTCCTCCTTCATGAACTAAAACTCTGAGCAATTATAATTCTTAAAACATTTTTTCGAGAACAAGACTGCTATATACCAAGTTCTATTGACTTATCCAGGGGATACCACTATACCACAAAGGCAACGCACTCAAGCGCGTATCACACTCATTCTTAAACTTTTGACACAACCATTTTGGCATATCGATGCAAAACATCTTCTTGGTGAAGGAAGCATCGCTTCAAACAACGCTGAGAGCGACTGTGGCACCATCGCAGTGATGGCTTCTAATTTTGGCCACTGGATCAGTCCACAGAACCCAGAGTTTGTCCTCCTTACCAGGATGTAGGCGTTCTTGTTCAGGAATCTCATGAACTTCTCCAGACACCAGAAGCAACATTTCAGGCACTTCAGTAAAAACTTCACCACCTGGTTCTCCTTCCCTGTAGAGACGACAAAAACGTCAATTTATTTCAGCCTTCGGACTGTCTTCACGTTGCTCACACTGAGCAGCAGCAGAGCACTGGGGAGACGGGTTGTGGTGGGAAAAGCACCAGTGATTCCAGTTATGTACAATTTGAGGGATCAAGGGAAAATTCTGCCTACGTTTGATGGATGGATGGCGAGATGGTGCATCAATACCATCCTTGGTTACAGATCACTTGAACTGCACAGCTTAGAGAAGCATTTCTAATTACTGTATTTGTGACAGTATATTCAGTAACAGGATGACGGCAGATCAAGCTTTTCTTTGGCATTGTTAGTTACGCACTCAACACTACCTTAGTGCTTTCTGAGATTGTCCAAAAAAAAATCTTCACGGGTTTGCCTGGGTTTGGACTCGAACCTACAACCCCTGACCTATAAGCACAGGTGTCTTACCACCTGATTTTCCCACCTGCAGCGACAGCTAAGTGAGTGGACTATGAAATCTTAGCAGGTGCTGCTGTTTCTTATGGTCTGTTCATTCTTTTCCTCGATTTCCTTCATCTTGAATACCAAGTACTTGATGTTTTACCCTTGAGTTTCGCTTCGACGTACTCCAGCATGGTTCGTACGATCTGGATGAGTGCTATGATGAGGGAACCAAAGGCTATGGAGCCAAGATGGTATCTAAAATCAGAAGAGTAAGAAGGATAGACAGTGTCGAATTTCTGCAGTTACTAATACAATGGACATTTCCACTTTTTCGTTTTCTTTCACAGGGTCCAGACTTCTGTTCATTTTTTTCCCCATCTTTTGTTCCAGTATTTTGGTTTGTTTTATGTTGCCTTTTCTGCTAATTGCTTTGATTTTGAATCCCTTGTTGATGTCAATTTTGAAGCCAAATCACATGAATGTTGTACGCTTCATGCAAATCTAATTTACTTTTCCTTCTGGCATAAAGCATGTTTCTCAGTTCCTCGATTCTCTGTATCTTCTTTCCCTTTCCTTGTTTATTTTCAAATTTTGAAATAAGATGCAAAGTTTATAATTTGTCGATCAGGTGCGAGTAGTTAAGGTGTTCTGCTCTTTTGAGGCAAAAAGAGGAGTCACGAAACAGTCACATAAAAAAAAAAATCAGTTTTGGGGAGAAAAAAAAAGATTTGGCTGTGGGACCCGTTACCTGATAGCTCGGTAGAAAGATTTAATGAGAGGGAATGCCGGGATGTCCTGGGGCTTGGTGAAGGCCCAGTAGTAAGAGGCGAAGGCCCCGGCCAAGGTGACCTGGCCCAGGGCGATGGCGAAGTTGACCAGCCAGAACAGGCCAAAGAGGTTGTAGATCTGGAGGTAGAGGACGTAGTCAGCCAGGGCATAGGACTGGAAGGTGCAGACGGCAGTGGTGTTGGGGAATTCCGTGGCAAATGTCTGCATTGAGGACACAGAAGAAACGACATCAGCGAATAAGAATGTAACTTGACAATTTTTTTCTCTTTTTAGTAGATAATTTTTTTTACAAAATCTGTACATAATCAGTTTTTTTTTAATGTCTGAATATTTTCCTGTGTCTATTTAATTAGTTTGAAAATATACCCAAATGTTCCCATTTTCCTGAAAACTTCCTCAATTGTTTTTTTTCAAACCACAATTTTCCAAAAATTTCCAGCATTTCCATAAGAATTCAGGCTCTCTAAAATAAATCATTTGAGAGGCACTGTTTGCCTCCTGTGATTTCCATTTCAGCATTGCACTAGCACCCAAATTATTACTCGTATCAAAACAGTAGGCTGTCACCATTTGAGACAGCATTGTGAGTGCTTACCAGCACGTTGACATGCCTACCACCACGAAATGCGTACCGACAGGTGTCTCGGGATTCTGCCGTAATGAGTATCCTTGCAGTACTTAAAACGCCTTAGTATTGTTAACTGAAGAGACTTGCAATGCTGGTAATTCAACAAATAAACTTCCGGCGGTTTGGAGAGCACAATAAGCCACTTGCGAGTAACCTTTGAATAAAATCTGGTATACCGAGTTCTCCAAATTCACGTGAATATCACAAATTGAATTCTCCATACAAAAAATGTTGCTATACCTTAGTCTGGGGAATTTTAAATGTTATGTTTAAGGGAAATAAGATAGCACAGTGTACCAGATTTTATTCAAATTTATCTCATAAAAGGCTTATTGAGCAACTTGGAGTATAAACGTGTAGTGGCCAGCGGGCACCCCCATAAAGCTGAGCGCATGCGGCCGTCGCCTGGTAAATGGAGGGTGTCCTACACAATTACCGTGGGCAGTCAACGTGCCGACAAATCAAAAATGCTTCCATTCAGTCAAAAAATGAGCAAGGGGGCTATCCAACTTGATCGATTTAATGGTTGCCGTGGCGTAGAGTAATTCATACTCTCTTCCTTCACCAACTTTGTTTTCACAACCGTGAATACTTACAGTGATGTCACAGGAATCATTATTAGCTGGTGGCACTGTGTCATTGTCGTTAGAAACTGTGTAGACGGCCTGATGAGACGTGGCCAAGAAGCTGTTTCATCGCTGAGTCAAGGAACAGTCTTGATGAACTGATGTACATTATAAAAAATACACCTTTAAGAGGGGGGATGTAAGTTCATCTCATAGGGAATTATTTTTTCATAACTAAGCAAATCACAGAATCAGCTAACGAGAAAATCTGCTTGCAAGCTCAATATGGAATCTTGTGCAACATTTGTTACCACACTCCAAGAGTTCTCAACATAATGTCGACTTCAAGTCCTGGAGAAACATCTGTGAACAAGCACCAGTGTGATATGGCATCTTTTGTTTGGAGGGAGGAGACAAGAGTTTTTCTCAAGAAACCTGCCAACAAGGTACAAACTCCAACAAGATTCAATATCAATCCGGCACCGTTATTAGCAGTGGAAATACAAAAGGATACACAGCGATGGTGGCCCAGATGGCGAAGAAACCAGCCTGCAGGATGTAGGGAAACAAAGGCCACAGTAGAGTGGACATCATCTTTCCGACGGCCCTGCAAGGTGGAAAGAAATTAAAGCAATTAATGTGAAGATTCTGCTGGGTTCCAAATGACCAGGCCCTCTAACTTAACACCATTACTGGTTACAAGTTTCTACTAGTAAGAATGTTGGAGAAACATCTTTATCCCTTAAGACTGACGGAGTATATGACAACTGAAAGTCCATAAGGTCAGTGCATTAACAGCAGAGGGCGCTGTGCAGTCTACCACTGAGCTTGAAGCTGTGTCCAAAAGTTACAGCTGCAGCCAGAAGGAACAAGTGTGCCTATGAAAGCCCATGGCTTGTTGCTACAGCCACTTGCCATAGATGTGCATTACTTCTGGGGCAAATTTGATGACTTGTATTCGTTAAGGGATCAATAAGTCGGTACAGAGGAAGGCTTAAGACACGGAGTCAGGGATGTCTGTAGGCTGGGACAATTTCAACTGTCATTCTAGGTTTCTAGGCATAGAGGAAACTGCATCTTATTGAATGATTGAAATAGCCTCAAATAAGGATATTGGAGGAAGATTTGAATCCCTGACTATTGGATATTATTTAAGTGTCCTGCCAAATTATGGCAATGCTGTTGTTGTTGTTGATTTGTTTGTTTTTTTCTCACCTGCTTCCCTCTTTGATGAGGGAGATTGCAATTCGGATACGATTGCAGAGACACAGCGTCGTCAGCAGCAAAATGGCCAATAGGACGGCCAGGATGATACCTGCAAACAACAGTGACGCAACCAATGAGAAACAACTTTTTGGGCAATGCAGTGATGCACACAAGCAAAGTTAGGTGTTTGACCACAGTACCTGCTACTAAATCCCAAATTAACTTACCGAAAATGAGCCACGTCTGCTGTAGTCGTAGATAGCTGGAGAGATCACTGGTGAACGTGAGGGCCGCATCGGCCCCATCCACCCCAGCTAGACTGGTGTACTGTTGCCAGCAGGAATACAGACCTGCACCAAAACAATTGACAACTGAAAAAATCAGATCTGTAATTCTTCAAATGAAATCGAAGATGCAAGATTTCGAAAGGAAATGATGCCTCAATGCTTGAAAAATGGGGATACTTATCTTAAGCATGTAAAAAATGTGTCTTTCTGGTCTCCAATGCCAAGAGCGTTTGAGCCAAAAAGAATGTGCATGGAAAAGGTTTTTTTTTTCATCTCAGACACCTGTCCCTCGATTTTCTTTTCCTTTGTGCAATCTTGCAGAATGAGATTACAAGTCATGAACTACCAAAAGAAAAGTAAGGATGTCAATTCTTGATGGAAAATAAAATCTCAAAAGACAAATAATTAACAAGTTCTGGGTGTGGGGAATCGAAGCACAGGAAGGAGTTTGAAAAGACCCGTTCTAAAAAATGTCAGCATGTGTCTGAGGACATAAACAAATTCTTCTTGATAGAATATTCAACTGGATCACAGCCAATTTTATAAACCAGGCAGAAAAGAACAGCAAAGTTGGGTCTTGTCACTGAAGTTAAGCTGTGGGAAAGCTACAGAGGGGATGCCGGACTTACCAAGACCCAGCAGGACGTGCAGTCCGAGTAACGTCAGCCAGACGATGATGCCCGCCAGCCAACGCATCAAGATGATGAACAGGAGAGACAGTAGCATGGCAATGCCGAGTCCACTGGGAGGGTGGAAATTCAACGTCAGACCAACATCAATTGGTGCACCATTAACAAAAGATTGAAGGAGTTTTTAGGAACTTTAGTACTTTTTAGCGACTCAGAGTACTAGCAAGGTTGAACTCTTGGCTAGTTACAGAGTTTCCTGTTGCTGTGTGGGTCATCATTTTTGTTTAGGTAAACGGAGTGCTTCTGAGTTTAAACAAAAAGTATACACATATTCAGATGACATTTCAAATGTTAAAGCTAACTTGATGTGAATTTGGACTTTTTCAAAAATAAAAAATCCATCAACATCTTCAAACATTTTTTTTAAATATGTGAATTTGATTGATAATTGTATTTATTCAAAGTAATTATTTTTTCACAATGTTGCAATAGTTGACCTTTATACTAAAGTAGATATTTAACAAATCTTATTAGTGTTTTGAGGCAATTTGTTTTTGTCAATTCTCAATATAATAATTAATGACCTGTCAACATTTGCAACCTACCCCACAATGAGGTACCAAGAGGCAACAACATCTTCGAAAATGATTTCAACTAAGGACGTGAAGGTCAATACAAGGCTGGCGGCACTGCAGAAAAAGAGAAAGAATCCATTTTTAAAACAACATACTCCTCCACACATTGAAACAAAAAGAGAGAATTTCATGAAATCATGCGCTTGGACTCCATTGCAAGAGAGCAGTTTCTAAATTTGTCAGCTAAACTGCCATTCTACGCACAGTGGAAACTGTTGTAAACACTAGAGGTGGTGT